GGCTGTTCCGAGCACTGGCGCGCGAATGTCTCCGCGGGGCCGAGAGGCGCAGCCTCGCTTCTGTTGGGGGCACCGGGAGGCGGCGAGGGGCCTCAGCCACCTCGGCCGGATGGGGCGGTTCGGACCCCGGCCCCGCTGCTCCGGCCCTGAGTGACCCGCAGGTTATTGGAACGCGCCGCGCCTAGGAGCCCTCATCTTTAAAGGCCCTGGAGATACGGAGAGTACCTGATTCACACTGAACTGTAAAGGGATCAGTCGGCCCTGGCACTCAGGACATGCGTAAATGGAAGTCCACGGATTTAGAATATTCTCTTTCCTTTTTTCTCGTATTTAAAATAATTTTCTTGACTCTAACCTGGCTGTCTCTTACTTCCTTCGATTTTCCACCAGTTATTTTGCGAAGCGCGTTTTACTTTAGGACTGGAGCTCCCTGTTCACCAATGACAAAGCATAAACCATGTGTTTGGGATTGGGGGAAATGTATAACCCTGCTTTTTCAAAAAAAATAGGAGATTATTATATAATATACGTCTTGGAAAGTGTTCTTGTAAAAATCATGGAAAGGAAACAAAGTTACTGTCAACTGTGTCATACAGTGTAACCAAAACCCATTTAGCCTGGTAGGAAAAAGTTTTCTGTAAAAGTCAGCTGTTAGTCTAGTTTTGCCTGTAAAACACGTTGTAGCCTGTGAGAGCACACTGTCAGTCAAGGTCATTGTCGGCACACCTGTAAAGAGCTGTGGTTTTCTATTTCATTCATTTCATAGTATAAAATATATGAGTCTGTCCTTTTTTAAGGACATGTCCTGTTCTTGTGTCAGTTCCTCTTTCAGAACTTGAATTTTAGAGTTCCCAGTTCATTGGTTACAGAAGTCTAGAAATATTGGACTAAATTACATATGAGTAGAATTGAGGGTGATTCTGGTAAAGAGAATAGAATAGCATTAGTATTTTATAAGATTTAGTGTTCATTTTATTGTCAGCTAAACCATTGGTTTGAGTTAACTTCTCCTTGTTTTAAACATACTAATATAAATAAGAGCCTAAAGCTTAATACTTTTAAAAATTATAGACAAGAACTTGTTTCATTTGTAGTATTAATGTGAAATACATTTGAATAGGACTTTGTAGCTTATACAAACCTCTTTCCTAGTTCTCGGCAAACTACACAACAAAATAAAAATAGAACATAATGCACAGAAATTATGAATCGGTTTTATTTTTTGTTGGGACACATGTTTACTTGAAGGGACTCTGAGTTACGTTTTCCAGCTGTCCTGAGCTTTGGCTACACACCTTCCACGTTAGTTCCTCTTCACTGCAGGGTTGACATGGTGCCAGGAAGATGCTCTTGTGTGTAGGGATGGCTGCCTGGCTTTTGCAGCACCTGATGCATAGATTATATATAATACACTGCCCTGGAATCTGGCGAAATTGTAAAAATATAGCAAAGTTTTCCTTTTTTAATTTCAGGTTTCCTCTACATGACAAAGAAAGACTTGAAAAATGGCTAAAGAATATGAAACGAGATTGCTGGATGCCCAGTAAATACCAGTTCCTGTGTAGTGACCATTTCACTCCTGACTCTCTTGACATCAGATGGGGGATTCGATATTTGAAACCCACTGCAATTCCAACAATATTTACTTTGCCTGAAGACAATCAGGTATTGGAGACGGGTGTGGGGGAGAGAGCAATAAAGCTGAGTGGGGTGGCAGGTGATTAGGTGGAAGTAGTGAGGGGGAAAGATGAGTGCTGGGGACACAGCAAAATAATAACCTGGGTAAATCATTAAGTTATAAGTTAACGATCTAAGATTTTTTTTACTGGTCTTTTGAATGATCTGAAATGTTTCCATCATATATTGATGATGCTTAATTATTTTTTAAAAACACTTTAAATTCTATTTGAGTTATATAATTATATAGTAAGAATATTTTAACTGAGTAAGTTTGCTTGGCCAATATACTGCTTAAAGTTGTAATTAAGTATTCAGTGATGACTAATAAGAGGAGAAGCCTAATAAGGACATCTTTTTTAAAATGTGAAAATACTATTTTCTAGGAAAAAGACCCTTCCAAAAAGAACTGTCAGAAGAAAAAAACAGATGATGAGAAGGAAGTGTGCCTGAAAGCCAAGCCACAAGAATCATTTGCACCAAAAGAGCCAAAGAAAAATACAGTTAATACAGGTGTCCTCCCTGAACATGCGGCATTACTCTCTTCAGCTGCGTTGGTGAAGCCACCATTTCCAAAAACAGGAAGTATACACAACAACATATTAACACTTAATCTAGTTAAACAAGATGCTGGAAATCCAGAATCTACCTTGGAAACATCAATTAACCAAGACATAGGTGGTTTTCACACATCTCTTGAGAATCTAAATTCTACAACTATTACTTTGACAACTTCAAATTCAGAAGGTATTCAGCAGTCTTTGGAAACCCAAGAAATGCTCGAAGTAACTACCAGTCATCTTGCCAATTCAAATGTCACAAATAATTCCGTGGAAATTAAGTCAGCACAGGAGAACCCATTCTTACTCAGCACAATTACTCACACAGTTGAAGAATTAAACACAAATAAAGACTCTGTTATTGCCATTTTTGTACCCACAGAAAATGCCAAACCTACAATCAATTCCTTTATACCTGCCCAGAAAGAAACCATGGAAATGGAACACATGGACAGTGAAGACTCCTACAAGGACCTAGACTATGAGACAGAAGTCTTACAAATTGAGCATTCTTACTGCAGACAGGATATAAATAAGGAGCATCTCTGGCAGAAAGTCTCTAAACTACATTCAAAGATAACTCTTCTTGAGCTACAGGAGCAGCAAACTCTAGGGAGATTGAAGTCTTTGGAAGCTCTCATAAGGCAGCTAAAGCAGGAGAACTGGCTCTCTGAAGAAAATGTCAAGGTTATAGAAAACCATTTCACAACATACGAAGTTACTATGCTGTAAAGAGGTCTCAGAGTGCTGACTTTTATATAAGCTTTCTGCAGCCAGACCAAATTATATGTAAAGTGAACTTTTCCCTGCATAAACATCTCAGCTTAATGAAGCTCAGAAAGTGTTTCAACGTTATGAACTGCATCCTGTTCTTTTAACGCTCATTTTTGAGGACAACTAGAGTGTTGCTGGGCTGTAGATAAAAAGTTTTATTACTGGGTCACTTTCCAAATTAAAGTTAAGATACAGTGGATAAGTAATAAGAGTTTGTCCTCTGACAAACAGATACGGTAAAAAGAGGCTCAGGAATAACCTGGGCTCTGCAGTTGGCAAGTGACAGGCAAGTTACTCATCAGGATTGAGCCCCATCGTCTCGTCTGTAAAATAAGGGCACTTCCTAGATCTCCAGTGCGGTCTGTTCCTTTCTAGTTCCTTCCGTTCCCAGCCAGATCCTTACAATAGGACAACTGTAAGGTAATCTGTACTTACGTGAAACGGGGTATTTGCTAGAATTCAATATTATTAGCTATTGGACTATCTTCAATATTTACTGAATTCTATGTTGTTTGACCTTTTGGCTAAAGTTATCCATAGAAACAAAGGAAAATACTCCTTTTATAATTTTATTCCAGTTGAACTAAAATAAGGGACCACCCATTAGCCCAGTTCTGAGGAGAGGTACTTTACACTTAAAAGAATATGTATTTCAGCACATTCTCTGTGGCTGACCATCATAATACATAGTCATTTAAGCTTAACATCCTATATTTAAGATTATAATTTATAAACCAAAATTTTTAATGAGGTTAATTTTTTAATATATATTACTATTTTTAGAAACCACAGTTTGTATGTATTTAATATGTGTAGCTTTTTAAAATGTGTGCTTGTGTCATTTTTAAATTCCACAATGATAAGAGTGATACTTAACACTACATTCCCACTTATGTATATTTTGTTAAAATTTATATGCAAGAAATTATAGATTCGTAGCGATGGCCATCAGGAGAGAAGTAAGAAAAAGAAGGGATGTAAATAAAAAATGCTGCATATATCTTAATGTGAACTTAAGAAAAAATATAAAAGCAAAAATTTAGTGGTAGCAGAATTGTGAAAAATCAACAATCTCTTAAAATTGGCAGTTAATATAATTAAATTGTTACTGTTTATGGTATTGAGCAAGTTCCTGTCTATCTGATTCTTAGTTTTCTTTTATATTAAAAATGCTGTTATCTTGAGGGATGGTTTTGACAGATCTGTAAGGTAACAATTACAGATTTAGTCCTGGACAATAAGAGGAACTCAATATATATTAGTTGACTGCACAGCGGATAGTAGACTAACTGTGCTATAAAGGCATGGTGATTAATTTTGGCTATATTTCACTTAGGTTTTTCAGGCTAATGGAATTGGCATTATATGAGTATATGTCAGCTAGTTACAAATTGTTCCTTATTGGGTTACCATGGGTGGAAAGACAGCATTTTACATAAATTGTGATAATTGGTAGATTTAATATGTTGTTTTTAAGTATTCCCATGTTGCATTTTGCTAATACTTCTTTTAAATTAATATAGATGAAAATGCCCTTTGTAAGTCACTTAAAAATGTTACAACTAGTTTATAACTGTATACCTTGTAACTTCTGTTTGTTTAAAGTAATTTAACTAGTTTTATTTCTTTAAACTTAATAAATTATAAATATTAAAAATTTTTCTTGGTTTGTCTACGTTCAGTTTTGGATGTTCTCAACCTGTTAATTTCTAAATATTATATTGGGGGGGTTCTAGGCAACTTTACTTTTTACGTGGATTATAATAGGAGCCTCTTAGCTAATCTTGCCCATATTTTTAGTCCCCCACTTCCATCCTGGACTCTGCTGTAAGCTTCTCCCCTGAACTGTAAATCTAACCATGTCACACACCCACCACTTAATTGTCCCAGCTCGGAAGCTGTAATTACTCTCTGATACCCACAAACTGAAGCCAAGCTAGTCACCATCGTGTACATGACCCTCTGTGGTTGTCTTCCTCCTGAGTTCTAGCCACATGGGCTTCCCAGCATTTCCCAAACATGCCAGACAGGAATCTGCCTTCCTGTCCGCTTATTTTGTTGTCTATAGTTAAGCAGTCTGTCAATTATGTTTTGATGGTGGTGGAATTCCATCCCTTTGATGCCAGTGCTCCTACTGTAACAGCTCTTTATATGTTTTTTATGTCATATTTAAGGCTGTCTTGACTAGATTGTAAGCTTTTTGAAAGCAGAGTTTTCATTGATCACTTTAGTTTCTGTGACAATGTAGTATTCACTCAATGTTTGGATGAATATTTTGAATTTGCCTACTTAGAATTCTTGGTTCTTGTCACTTAAAATCAAGAACCTTCTAAACAAAATTGTTCTTTGTTGCCTTAACAATGACTAGGGGAGTACATAGGTTTTCATATAATATTTTAAACATTCCATGTTTCCAACAGACTGAACAGTTTGCCAATTATCTGCTGTGCCCTCTATTAATTGTTGTGGAAGGCTGTCCCCAACCCAGACTATTGCCTTCTTTCTAGTCTAAATTGCAAATTCAGATGAAACGGGCCCACCAGTGTCTGTCTTTCTGTCTCCTTTTGCTAATCTGGGGTGGACTGAAGTTAGAACTTCACGGCGGGGAGAGGAGGAGGTCCCCTGTATCACTGAAGAGCCAGCTCACATGCCACCTTTACTAAGTGGTAGCACACACACAGACACAGACACAAACACACACCTCAGTTAGTTGTTCAATCCTCTGTCTTCACAAACTATTCATATCATTATTATAACTAGATCATTCCTTGCTGTACATTGTGGAAGACCATTGTTTCTGGTCTTCAGCCAATAAAGTCTTGCCTTTATGTTCAGGATACTATAATAAACAGGACTTTCTGATTATCGGGTGTCACCCTGAAGAGAAAATAAAGTCATCTTCATGTGGAAGGAAATACCTGAGTCGTGATGTGGGAGTTGAGCTGCGAGGTTTGGGCTGGTAGAGGTCCTGGGCCAGGTCCGATTTCAGGGGCCTTGGAATAAATCTCTGACTGAATGAGTCTGGGATGGGGACCGGCTTCCTGAGAGAACTACCAGGTCCTGGAGTGTTAAAGGGCTTCATGCTGAATGCACATGGAGCGTCCTGCAACCTAAAAGCTACTCTGCTTTCGGTAAGCAACACACCAAAGGTGAACATAGAAATAAAAATGACTGCTGCCCGGCTGGCGTGGCTCAGCGGTTGAGTGTTGACCCATGAACCAAGAGATTGCGGTTCGATTCCTGGTCAGGGCACATGCCCGGGCTGTGGGCTCGATCTCTAGTGAAGGGTGTGCAGGAGGCAGCCCACCAATGACTCATCATTAATGTCTCTCCCTCTCTCTCCCTTCCTCTCTGTGAAATCAATAAAAACATATTTGAAAAAAATTTTTAAAATGACCACTAGATTCAATCAGCTCTCTAGTGCTTATTAAGCAACATCCTGGATCATAAATTGCTTGTAGTACATCCCAGTACCTAACTCGGCTTGGGGAAAACTTAATTGAAAAGTGTGTATAACGTAATGGGAAGTGTCTACATGAGTTTTTAATCTTCCTTTCTATTCTTTAATGAAGAATATATGTGTAGGCACAGAAAACACAGCATCCAGGTTACTGATTCCTTCTGTGCTCAAGTAAGAGTCATTCTCATTAAACAACGAAGCAACGTGGAGAAATAGTTGCCGTGAAGACATCATCTCCTTGGGGCATATTAAAATCACTGTAAGCCTCAAGTGGATGTGCTGCTTCTATAAAGCTTTAAAGGGGTCCTGTCAACATAGTTCAGGTCAGCCCAGCCTGTGTGGCTCAGTGGTTGAGCGTCAACCCATAAACCAAAAGGTCGCTGGCTTGATTCCTGGTCAGGGCACAAGTCTGGGTTTCAGGCTTGATCCCCAGTAGGGGGCGTGCAGGGGGCAGCCTATCAGTGATGTTTCTCTCACCGATGTTTCTATCTCTCCCTTCCTCTCTAAAATCAATAAAAACATTTTAAAAAATTGTTCAGATCACTGAAGAAAATAAAGAGCCCTTGACTGGGCCCAGGTACCCACGGAAAGGAAGCTCTTGCTGGCTCCCAAACCCTGGGAGATTCATTCATTCATTCCTTCCTTCATCAACTGATATTTAATGAGCATGTATTGCTAAGAATTTTTCTATATTCTGGGTTTGGAACTTTAAACAAACCAGAAAAAAAAATCCTGCCCTCTTAAGGCGTACATTCGATTTGAAGAGAGAAAACTGATTTTAGCGTTTCACATAAATGACGTATATAATGCCAGAGCACAAGAAAGAATGTGAATAGCATGAAGAGAAACGCAGCAAGGTGTGGGGCAGAGTGCGACAGGAACACATTTGTGAGGCGATGGCCCGTGAAGGGGTGGCTGGCGGGAGATGTTACAGAACCTGGAGAGAAGAGCTGTTTGGGACAAACTACACAAAACCCAGCTTGTGTCAGGTTCATGAAAGACAAGGGAAGATTGAAAACCCGTCGCAGAAGGAAGGAGGCTGAAGAAACATAACAACCTGTGGTTTAGGTGGCAGTTGTGAATCATTTGTTTCTTGCTTTCGAAGGCTGTGTAATGATCGCAGGACAGAGGGGCCTTGCTTGTGGGAAACTCACACTAAAACAGTAGGAAGTCCTAGTGCATCAGCTGGACAGCTTACCCCGAGATGGTTCAGGAAAAGCAAGTTGTCTGTATTCTATTTGCAATGTCCACGGCGGCTTGAGATTGCTGAAACCACCACCGCCCCAGCAGTTTCACATTCGCAATCCCAATACATAATCCTTAGGAACACTTCTTTCACCCAGTGACACCACGATTTATCCTGGACGCAGAGAGGATATATCTTCACTTGCTTTTTTTTTTCTGATACAGATTTTAACAGTCATAAATCATATTGTCATCACACTATCTATAAGTCGGAAAGTAGAAGTTTCTGGGAGCAAACCAAAGGCTGTAACTGAGGGGGAGACCTATGTAAGGTACTGGCCTGCTAGTCCCACACTCCAGGCTTTTCAGGATCTCAAATGTAGGAAAGCTTCCTGAAGCCCTGTCTTAAAGGCATTCAAATGTTAAACGAATTGGCAAACATTTTTTTAAAAAGGTCACCTAATACCGATCTGAAAGATTCAATTTGGGTTCAAAAATGAGTTGCAGGGAACCATTATTGAAAGAACGCACACTGATCCCCAAATAGGAGCTACGCCAAAAATATTTGCTTTCAGAATTGCTTTTGCTCATATAGCTGAAGAGATGTATTTTTACAGTATCTTCTCAGTTGACTTGCCACAGGAAAATTGCTATGAAATATGCCTTTTAATATATCACTAATACATTGTATTGTGTTTACCACCCAAGTCAAGTCTCCTTCCATCGCCATTTATGAAGAAATAAATAAAACGGTCTACTGAAGAGTTCTGAAAACCCTAAAGGTTATTATTAAACCCTAAAAGGTTATTGTTTTTCTTTCTTTTCTCCCCCCTCCCCACCCTCCACCAATTTTAAATATATGTATATAAACTTAAAACTCAAGTAAGAATCTTGGAAAAGCAGATGCAGTTTGTTACTTTGGGGCCATCTAGTGTTAAAATAAAGAACACATTTGCCTTTTGTTCCTTTTTGTAAACTTTGTCTCTAGAGTATTTTCAATATGACAGAAGTTAGAAGCTAGGAGTACAGTTAGAATATTTTTAAAATAAAAATTAAATACGTTTAAGGCACATAACCTGCTAATTAGATATAGGTATGTATAGTAAAATGATGACTACACTCAAGCTAATTAACATTATCTCCTCACAGTTACCATTTTTTGTGTGCAACTGGGATCTCCTCTCTTAGAGAATTTCCAGTGCTCAGTACAGTAATAACGTACACTCTGCATGCCTGTAGATTAGATCTCTAAGCTTATGCATCTGACGTAACTATAACTTCTGACCCTTTGACCAGTATTTCCCCGTTTCCCCCACCATCCCAGCCCCTGGTGACCACCATTCTACTCTCTGCCCATCTAGGAGGATTCGGGGAGGATTTGTGCATTTTCAGCCCTTCTTGAATCAGTCCACAGAAAGCTCATTTCACCTGGGAGTTAAATGGTCCGTTTCCCTCTCATGTATGTGAGATGGAGGAGGAGAGCCAGGCATCCAACGACCCTTTCACAGAGGAAATAAGAAATGAACATGCGGAGCAGGGTTCCAGAAATGGGTGCCAGAAGCAACCTTCCTGCCCGGCCTCACACACTGTCATTACCCTTGGGTTCAAAAGCTGGTAGGTGTTGGCCACGAGCCAATCTGAGAGCTGTGAGGCTCAGGGAAGCACCTTTGTCTCATCAAAAGGAGAGATACACGTATACATTTTCTTTGCATCTTCCTAAAAGGTGCACTTAATTGTTGAATCACTACAGAAACAAAAGAAATCCTTTAGAATTGAATCAAGCTGAAGTGATAGTCCCAAAATACAGAATTCTTTCTTTCTGTTCATAATGTCCTAATTGTAGATCTCCTTTTTAAAACCGAGCCTGTTGTGGCAGCTCAGTGGTTCTCAACTCTTGCAGAACCAATGCCTGACATTTCATTGCAAATGCTTGGTAATGCTTTTACCGTTCTAAACTAAATTTCACAGATAAGATAACCCTTCTACACTATTACATACAAAGTGCCCTAGCTGAAATGTAATATAAATGAGTAACAAAAGACAAAGTTATTTATGATAAAATAATTTGCATTTCAGTGTGTAAATGCTCAGTCACTATCAAAGGAGACAAAACAAGGCAGGTGATCTTGGCACCTCTATTTAATACCTACCCAAATACAACAACTACAAATATTGTTTACAAGCATGTTGAGTTGAATTTAATGCCACAGGTGGTGTTGCTATTAGTAATGTGATTTTCCAAAGGAATGAACAAGTCTCGGTAAAGTTCTAAGGAAAACAGAGTAAAATCTTTCCTCAATATCCATGGTAGCTGCATTTTTGGAAAATTCAGAAAATTAAAACCACGCCAAGAAAAGACTATGTGTTTATAAAAACTGGATAAAACCTAACTGCTCTGGTCACTCGGAGCATACGTTTTACTTCATGAAGGTCTCCAGAACATTCAAATACAGATAAGTCTCTACTGTGCTGGGTGCAAGGCAAGATGTCTAATCTCTGGCCCGAGCCACCAAATGCCAGCAGTGCTCTCTCTCACAATTGGAACAACATCCAAAAGTGGTCCGAGAGGCCCATGTCACCTCTACTCCTGCATGAGGTTCATTTTCCCAGCAATGAGAGACAAAGAACAGGCTAACTGAAAATTTTAGTTTATTCTGTAAATATCGCTGAATAAAATATGTTATGGAATACTGCATTTCTATATTCTGGGTAACATTTCTTAAAGATCCACAGAAATAGGACCCTCATTATAATATATAATAATACAGAGAAAAGCTTCATTGTCAGAACTCAACATATTTAAAATATGGAAGAGATTATAATACAATCTACAAGCTAACAGATAATCGTGATGTTATGTAAGACACAGATACGTAAAGAGAGAAACGTTGTAATTCCCATAACTTCTTTCTGCTTTTTTCAAAACCTTATGCTTGTTTCAGGTGTACAGCGTAGTGGTTAGACAATCATCTACTTTACAAAGTGTGCCCTGATACCCACCCGGCACCGTACATAGTTATTACAATATTATTGACTATATTCCCTGGGCTGAACTTTACATCCCTGTGACTGTTTTGTAACTGCCAATTTGTACTTCTCAATTCCTTTACCTCTTTTCACCCATCCCCCAAGCCCCTCTTGCCTGGCAACCTTCAGTTTGTTCACTGTATCTGGAAATCCGTTTCTGTTTCATTTTGTCCTTCATGTTCCACATATAAGTGACATCATATGGCATTTGTCTTCCTCTGTCTCACTTATTTCACTTAACATAATACCCTCTAGTTCCATCCAGGTTGTTGCAAATAGTAAAATTTCATTCCTTTTTATTGCTGGGCAACAGTCCACAGCTTCTTTACCCACTCATCTATTGAGGGGCGCTTGGGCTCTTCCAAGTCTTGGCTATTGGAAGTAATGCTGCAATGGACATAGAGGAGTGTATATATTTTTTGAATTAGTGTTTTGGATTTCTTTGGACATATTCCCAGAAGTGGGCTTGCTGGGTCATAAGGTAATTCTATTTTAAATTTTGTCCACAGTGGCTGCACCAATCTGTAATCCCACCAACAGTGCACAGGGTTCCCTTTCCCCCGGGTCCTCAGCAGCACCTGCTGTTTGTGGATTCGTGGATGGGAGCCGTCCTGAGGGGTGTGAAGGGATGTCTCATTCTGTTGTAAATCTGCATCTCTCTGATGAGTAGTGATGCTCAGCATCTTTTCATATGTCTTTTAGCCATCTGTATGTCCTCTTTGAAGAAGTGTCTATTCATGTCTTCTGCCATTTTTTAATTGAGTTGTTTGTGGGTTGTTGTTTTGTGTGTTTTTTAGAGTTATTGGTGTGTGTGTTTTGGTGCTGAGTTGTATGAGTTTTTTATATATTTTGGACCTTAAGCTCCTATCAGATGTACCATTGGTGGCTATGCTCTCCCACTCAGTGGGTTGTCTTTTCATTTTGTTGATGGTTTCCTTTGCCATGCAAAAACCTTCTAGTTTAATGTAGTCCCATTTATTTATTTTTTTCTTTTGTTTCCTTTGTCTGAGGAGATATATCAGAGAAAGAACAAGGTCAGAGAGTTTATCGCCTATGCTTTCTTCTAGAAGTTTTATGGTTTCGGGTCTTACATTTACGTCTTTAATCCATTTTGAGTTTATTCTTGTAAATGGTGGAAGAAGGTAGTCTAGTTTCACTTTTTTGCACGTACCTGTCCAATTTTCCACCATTATTTATTGAATAGACTGTCTTTACCCCATTGTACAGTCTTGCCTCCTTTGTCATAGATTAATTGACCATCTAGGCCTGGGCTTATTTCTGGGCTCCCTATTCTGATCTATTGGTCTATGTGTCTGTTTTTCATAGGTAATTTTAATAGTTTTTAAATATTTTACTATAATTATTTTCTTACAAAGTTTATGGGTGTTACAAATTTTAAAACTGTTATGGGTCTTAGAAATTTTCTTACAAATGTTATGGATCAAAGTGAGAAAAGAAAAAAAACTAAGAGAAATGGGGAAAGAATACAAATAAGAAATGAAAAATGTATGGCCTGAAAAGGAAAAGAGGGCACACATAAGTCAATTTAAAACAGGAAAAATTTGGGGAACAAGTCATATGCAGTGTGTTGCTTCCTTATCTTCCTCAAAATTAATTTCTATGACTCTGTAATTTTAGTGATGAAAGAAACTCACATGGGTATTTATTTATCTGATGAATTTATGGATCCATATAGTATAACAAACTATGAAAAATCTTTAAATCCTGAACATTTAACTCACTGGGGTAAAAAAAAAGTTCATTCATTCATTTCTTCTATTCCCACCATGAATTACTTCAGGTTTTCTGGAGAATTAAATATGAAGCTCGATCCGTTCCTCAGAAAGATTCAGGATCATGAAACACTCAGGAAAATAGTACAAATATGGGCCACAGGGAAGAAAACCCACAAACTCATATTAACTTAGCATCCTAATCTCATAGTTCAATGATTTTTCAACATATTTCTCAAAAGTTCTATTTTAAAGAATATTGTTTTCATTTACTTAAAGACCCATAAGGTTAAGGGCTGGAGAGAACTGAAAGATTTCAGTATAGCTTTCTGTCTCCAAGGGAAAGCTAAATTAACTATGGACCAAGACCTCTATAAATTCTTCAAAAACAGAAAAGGGAAAAAAAGAATCACTTCCCTCGGGAACTCATTTTAATGCCTAGCAGCATATTGGTCAGGAAAAGTTACACTCTCACCATCATTTAGATATATTTAGTAAGTTTCAAAATGATTTTTGGAGATATTCAGGGAGCTGAGCCAAGTCCTTGATCTTTCAAAGGATAAATCTAGATAACCTTCTTAGAGTAGAAAGCCAGAAGTTCTGTTTCTCTTGATTTCTAGATAAGTGACTTCCTACCAAAGTTATAATAATCTAGAGAAGTTTCATTCCCCCCTTATCTGTTTTTGTCAGGGTGTGAGTCCAAAGGGTATCTTATCTAGTTAGCAAAGTAGAATTTGTGCTTTGAAGCTGAATCGGAGCCAGAGTTCATTTATCTAAGGTTTAATGTGGAATGAAAATAACCAACTACAGGGCTGAGGCCAGCTCAGAGCCTAAGAAAAGACCACGTTTCCCCCTAAGGAAACTAAAATAAACTAGTAAAAGTCAGAAACCATTAGACCCATGGTGCTTGGACTGGCCAAGGAGACATTGGGTACTGACAACGCAGTGTTGCAACTCCCAGTGGATTGAACATCACTAGTTTTTGCATGGGTGTCTTTTAGAGATGGTAGGGATCACATAAGGACTGCAGTGGGTGCTCTGACATGTTATAGTCCTTCTGTTTGGCTGCATCAAGGCATCGTTTTAATCAAGTAACAAAATAGCCTTCCCACCTCCCTCTTCCCATGCTCACTCCCAATATAAAGGCAGTAAATCTGAACACTGTATTTTGTGGCTAACGGCACAGGAGGTAATTCCATAGGTCAATGATCTTCTGCTTAATCCAGTGGCTTCCCCCAAGAACAAAGAGCAGCAAGTCAAAGCAGCTAATTGCCGTTACGCTCAAGAAGATTTCATTATAAAAGTTGGCAGTGTAGTTACAGTCCTTGGAGTGTGCCAGGGTGTACAAGTAATAGATCCTAAATAACTGGTAGGGAAGGAAGCAAACGACGATGATCCCTATGAAAAACAGGTTCTTCAGCTGGGCCCAGAACTCCTGGTGGGACAGCAAGGAATGGCGGAGCTTCCGCACCATGGACATGATGATGAAGGTCTGGAAGACCAGGAGAACCACGGCGACGACTATGACAAAGGAGACTATCAAATAGTTGACGACCTGCACATACGGATGGGCCAGCTCCTTGTGGAAGTTAAAGCAGTTCTGCCTATCATACTCCGCGTATTTTCCGTACTGAGAAGCAATCAGGGGCACCATGATGACAACCACCAGCAGCCACAGGCCGACACTGGCGGCCACCGCGTGCAGCTTCCGGTAGAATTCCACCTTGTCCTTGCGCTTGAAGAAGATGAGGTACCTGATGACCAGGATCACCATGTAGAACAGGAACGTGAGGTACATGTGGACGTGCAGCATGGCACTCACAAACTTACAGAAGGGCAACCCGAAGGTCCACGTGCGACTGACGAGGTAGGACAGGCGGAAAGGCACCGTCAGCAGGAAAACGCTGTGGACCACCACCAGGTTCACGACCGCCGTGGTGGTCACCGACCGGGTGTTCATCTTCACCAGCAGGAACAGAATGGAGATGATGCCCACCAGCCCTCCGACGAGCACCACGCCGTAGAGCCTGGTCAGGTGGGGTGTCAGTATAGGTTTGCAGGAAGTATTTTGGGTAGCCATGCTTCAGAAGCCACCTGGAAGACACAAAGCACCGGTAACTGACGAGCTCCCGGGGCTCTGGACATCCCTCCCCAGCAGCCCACACGGGCACTGTCATTAGCTCGCCCAGCGGTCAGCACTGAATCTCAGTGTCCCCATTCCCGTCCATAACTGTCCCCTGCTACTACCGGGACATTCCGGTTCCAGAGGCCCAGAGAGGTGAGTGCCAGCTCCTTGGTGGCACAGCCATGCTTGAAGCCCACCCAGGAGCCCCTCTCCAAGGTCGCCGGTTACGAGCCAGGACGAATGTCCAGCCAGGGCTGGAAGAGGCAGAACAGTGAGCAGAGGTTGCTGTGGGACAAATGGCTTCCCTGCCTTTGAGACGCCCTTAGAGTAAATCAGAGTCTGTTATGTTTGTTGAGAACAAATAGGATCATTCATTTTCATCTCTGCAGGAAATCTGAGCAGCATTCGATCCAAAATATTCTCAGAAAAGGCTCCAGAACAACAGTGTCACATGAAGGACCACCTCGAGGTGGGAAAAAAAAAATTAAAAATAAAAATCTGAAAACATCAGAAGCAGCGTGGGAAACAACCAAACCCAAATGTCAGTTCTAAAGAAATCCATTAGAGAGGATTATGTGCCCAAGCAACCTATAAGAAGCCCGCTTCCTTGCCCGTGTTTGCGCTGGCTCCCAGGCCTCCTCCTGAGGTTTGAGAGGAGACTCCTGGCCCTGAGCTGAACCTGCGGCCCCTGCTTTGCTGTGGCTGTTGCTGGGGAGTTAGATCTGCAGCCTCACTCATCAGAAACGGCGCGTCCAGCCCACAAGAGCTTCTGGGTTGGAGCTACTACTCCTGCTGTTACCGGCAGGTAGACACACTTTCCAGCTTCACGGCTCCTGGCTACAGGTAAGGGAAGGAGAGCTGAGGCTGGGGGCACGAGGTGCACACTCAGAGGCCACACGTTTCTTCTGAGCGAGAGCCACGCCACTCCTGAGGCCACCTGGGCACGCGGCCTACCCCTGCTCTATCCCACATAAGGAGCAGACCGAGAATTCTCCCCACTCGTGGGGGGGTGGCTTGGCACAGATCTGTAGGTCTGTAGGTATTCAAATGTGCTGTGAATTCTGGTCCCCGCATGTCCCCATCTCCTTACTGGAAATCTTGCTGCAAAAGAAATACCTTGTTACCTCAAGGACTGTGCTTTGCTCTCAGGGAATGTCAATTCAGCAGGCTTGAGGTCCTGGGATTCCTGGGTGCCCAACGCAGTGGTTCCTCGCCACCCTCACAATCCGGCCCCCTTAGTCCTCGCAGCGCCAAAGGACAGAAAAGAACAGGTCAGGGAGCTGGTGAGGCGGGAGGGCTCCAGATGGACGAACGTGGTGCTCAGCGGTCCCGTGACCTCCTCGCCTGTAAGCTTCCTCCCAGCCCGGTGAAGCGCTGACCGGTAAGCGGGCCAGGATGTCGCTAAGAGGATGTCGCTAACAGAGGCTGTGCACATTTTCATCTCACGTGGTTCCCCTGGGGGTGTTTTGGCGCGTGTCACAAGTGGGCTGCTTCCTGCTGCACCACTGTGACCCCTGCTGTGTTTATCCAAATGGTCATCTTCCTTTTCATTATCTGCGTTTTATCTTAATATCTACGAGGGGGTTATTTCCTTTTCTTGTCTCAGTGTTGTGTTTTTTTTAGTCACAAAATAAGAGGCAACTAAGTTAAAGAAACTAAAGAAAAATTAGAAGATGAACAGAATGTTTTCAGTCTTTTAAATATTTCAGTAATTTTCCGCTAGTATTTTTCTACGTACCTGTGTTAGGGAGGGAGGTAGAATCATCCTTCATATTTCTCACTAGTGATAAAGTGAAGTACTTAATTGTAAAGATTCTCTACTTTTAAATGACTGCATCCCATCAGGTGGGCATCTTTAATGTTATTTTTTTTTTAAGAATATATTTTTATTGATTTGAGAGAGTGAGGAAGGGAGAGAGAAAGAGAGAAACACTGATTGGCTGCCTCCTGCACTCCCCCTAGTTGGGATGGAGCCCGAAACCTGGGCATGTGCCCTGACTGAGAATCGAACCAGTGACCGCTTGGTTCATGGGTCAACACTCAACTAATTGAGCCACACCAGCCAGGGCTTCAATGTTATTTAACCAAATATTCAGCAATGAGGTGTTTCTAACTTACTGTTGTTATAAATGACTCTGTATGATAAACATTTTTGTGAATTAAGCATTTTACATATTTTGGATTATTTTCTGAAGGTGGCATCCAAGAAAAGAGTGTTTGCATGACATATTTGTGTATCTAGATTTATAGAGCCAGATTGCTTTACACTGACAGATGCAAATGTAAAATATTTATTGTAGGGAACAATTGTACTCCTGATTTCTAATTTAAGCTATTCCATCAAACATTTTGTTTTTAATACTTTATTCAAATGACTCCAGTCATCCAGCAATCTTTACACTCTGTTCTTATAGGCAGAATTCTGAAATGAGCAAAACCAGGGGCTGTGGGTAAAATACTATCCTCAAATAACGTATTTCCCCTTTAACCCTGCACCATCCTCTCAGCCCTCAGAAAGCTAAGCCAACAATAAAGAAAACTCTTCCAGAAGTTCTAGAAGTATTCTGTTCAAACCATGTCTTCCCTTCGCATCTAAACTCTGGGAAAAATCACTGGTCTCTTTCTTGGAGCCCAGTATCATCCGCCAACAAGTCAGGATGCCACTGCCAACACCACCTGGAGAGGACCAGGAATGGACAATGACTTCAGAGAATGCTGAGCCTCTCTATGGAGGGAAAGAGGCATTCATTTGGGAATCAGCCAACCCCTGTGGTTGGAAGGCGCCGTGCCTCCAAGGTGAATGTGACATATAAGCTCACTCAGAGCAGGGGGCCCTTCCTCAGGGCAAAGCTGCTGAGAAGTCCGCCACGGAGAGCAGCCAAGGGCCCCCCTCCAGTCTTCAGTGCTGGGGACCTCTGGGTTCCTGCTGTGTCACCAGCAGTGAGGGTGTCTGTTCTATGATTTGTTTGCGACCAGAGCTGCCCTGTCCTGAGTGCATCCTTGGTCCCAGGTGCTATGGCGGGACTCTCACATACATTACTCATCTTCCTGCCATGAAGTCTAGGATGTGGGCATTTTCATCCCAAATATCAGGTGAAGAAATTGAGGCTCAGGAAAGTTAAGCAACTTTCCCGGGTGTGCTCAGCTACCAAGTGGTTTTAGTCCTACCAAGGACTAAAACCCAAGTGTTGAGTGCTATTTCCCAGGGTGGCCGCATGCAGACGTCCCNTGGTAGGACTAAAGTGTTGAGTGCTATTTCCCAGGGTGGCCGCATGCAGACGTCCCCTCCTGTGAAAGAAAAGGGGCCGTTCCATCCCAGCTGCACCCCTGCTCCCCTCCAAGCTGGGGGTTCTGCACAGCTGGTCGGTCCTCCTTTCTCCACTGCATTTGCTTACATTGCTGTGACCAGTTACCAGGGTATTTAAAGGCGAGTCATGTGAATACAGCAGGAGACTTGGAGAGGCCGTTCAAATAGGCCCAGCTGCTATTCTCTAAAGCCAGTACAAGCTTGAGAAGCAAGTCGTCAGATTGCAATATATTAAAAAAAAACTGCATTCAAATTTGATTACTAAAATTTAATTTGTCCTTAGGATAGAGTCCTGAGCCCCTTTCTTAATTCCGTTTCACTTTTTGAACTATAAGCCCTTAACTCCCCTTTTTTGAGATTGGAAATCACACTGAGAGATTGTTATAGTGGCTCCTGATCAGCTGCTCCACCCAGAGAGATCCAGCCCAGAGCCAGCCAGCCTAGTCATCGATGGGCACGAGGGGCTGCCATCTGGAAGTGCCGACTGCTCTGTGCCCAGGGATCCCTGGGTGAGCAGCTGGGCACAGCCCTCTCCTAAGAGTGCCAGGCTTGAGTCACCCCAGGCCTCTGCCTGCCTTCGGGCCTGGTCCCCAGCTTGCTTCCCAGCCCATTCTGGGTCTGGAGGCCGCCTAGATCCTCACCCCCTTCCTCTGGCACTCCCGTCCTCACTCCATGCCCCCCGTTAGTTTAGACGTATATCCCCGCTCAGTGACCCTCCAGGACCAGCCAGTCCCTGCGATTCTGATTCCCGCCTGGCGCTGACGTTCTTTGGGCCTATGTCCTATTACTCCTGCCAGCCCGTTTCCCAGGCCTGCTCATGTTCCCTCCATCCCTGCCTTAGCTCTACGGGATCCCCAGGGGGTTCGAGCGGTGCCCTGTGCTCCTATTGCCTGACCTCTTCCTTCAAAGTTAATCCCTGCCCCATCCCCCAGGGGCTGAAGTGGTTTCCTGTAGCAATCTCCAGTGCGGGAGGAGGTGACACTCACTTCCTTAGTTTCCCATCTGATCCTCAGCCCTTTATCTCGGTTTGCTACCCAACTGCCCCTGCACTGCCCGTTTTAGCCATGCGCAGGCGAGCTGGAAGGTCAGGTAACTTAGTCCCTTCTACAATGACTCCTGATTCTCAGATAGGTATGGAAAAGGGTACGTTTCAGTACATTTGAAAAGAGGAACTAAGTTGCTAGGCCATTTGGTCCCCCACAGAGGGAGGTGAGGACCAGTCTGCCCATTATCAAGCACAGGGTGAGGCCCGTGTGGGGCGTTAGAATGGACAGAAGAAGCTACTAACCATCAGTGGTGGGTGTAGGAAGAGGGACCAGATATCCCAACTTGAATGGGAAAACTTCTTGGCAGAATGTTGCACAGAAAAGCTCATCACTGAATCTGGTGGTCATGTAAGATGACCAATTCTAAGATTTTACAATGTGACAAAGACCTGGCTCTGGCAGTCATATCTTAATCCACCTCTCAGTCACAGGCATTTCTTTCTGGTCTTCTGGTTGACCTTTCAGCATCTTAAAGCTTCCAAACACCAGTATGAGCAGCTTCTCTGGATCCTGGCCACAGAATCAACCTCAACCCTGAAGGCCCTTAAAACAGAATATTCAAAAAGAACTTGGACCCCGAAGCTCCGAGACTGAGCAGAGGG